TTTTTAAGGAATTTTATTGTTTTAAATTAATATTGTTATTCTGTACAAAAGTTTCATCTATGTGTATATATTGTAACTTTTTTATCGATCTTAATTTATTATAATTTCTAAAATTTATATTAGTGATTATTAAATTTGATGCAGAGTAGTTACCATGAGAAAATATTTTAAAAATCTATAAGCACCATAAATTTAAATAGTACTTTTATTTTTTGTTCTTTTTTTTTTTAGTAATTGTAAAATCAAGTGTCAGAATATCAAATAATATCTAAAAACATAAGCATTTATAAAGAGAAAAGGGGAGTTGATTCTCAATGTCCGTTACTACATTACCATATGATTTACGCATCTCCCCCTACCCAAACGCCGCACCTTCCCTCCCCCTTTTAAACGTCGTGAATTCATGTTTTAAATCGCTAAAATGATTTAACCGCCCCTTCCCTGTCATATCATGGTAAGAAATGAACAAATGAAAAAAAAAAAATAAAAAATAAAAATGGCCGTGACTTAAACTAATTACCAGGCGTCAGTTTATGGGTTACTTCGCCGAAAGGCGAAGGATTCTGTGGCCTGGAATTAGCTTGCGTCGATGTACCGGGGGAAACACACATTGGAACACATCTTCGTCGTTTACTAGGACGACCATGACTATGCACCGGGTCGAACTCCAAAGATCTCTTTAGAGTGGCGCAGGCCATTTCTCTCCTTTACCGTCCCGTTCACAACTGACACTCAGATTATGGGCTTAGCCCGTGAGCTACGATGATTATGCCGAAAAATACAGCAAAACCACCGTATACGCGCACTGTCTGAGTAGTTTCTTTAACTGCACTCTAGTTCTTCTCTCTTCCTTCGTGTCGATCTCCTCGGATTTCTTCGTATTCTGACTAGGCTGCACCAAAACAAACACTGCGGTAAAACAATATGGCTGGCAACCACGGTTTGTCGGCTAGGAACGACCACGGAACGAATGTCTCAACCATCAAAGCACCATCTTTTCACTGGTCACTACTTGCATTCCGAAATGTATACGTCGCAGACTCAACTAACCCGAGACTCTAGGCTTCTGATTGGTCAATATTGTTGCATGGTGGCGTCTCTCTGCATTTCCTTCTTCCGACGTACTTTAATTGAAATTCAAAAATGAACTATTCTAGTCCTTAAAAAAATTTAAGCTGTCTTCGAATTATAACGCTTAATGTATATATGTTTTTAAAAATTTACAGTTTACTCAAAATTAATTGATACTTTGATAAGTAGTGATTTCTCTGGAAATAAAAGTCCCTTAAATTCGTAATGTATGTGTTTCTAGCGTCAATAAGGAAAGCTTAGGAATTGCAACATTATTTATAATATTTTATTTGTATTCAATTTACAAACAAATATTGATTAACACATTGTAAAGGTTTTGAATCATTAAGGTCAATATTCATATAAAATATTGAAAATTATAGCACTTCTTGAAAGGTCATATTCTCTGACAGATGTTGTTATGAAAATGAAACTTGTATGTAGATAATTATCTGACAATTTCAAGCGATTTGTTAGAAATAAGTTCCACCATTTTGAATACTTTTCTATATTTTTTATGATAACGAAGTACTTTGCAATTATGCATTGATAATGGGCAATTCTGCAGGTTTGCATAATAACTTGGATTTTCATTTAAAAACGATTTCGTAAAGCATGCGCATGACTTCCGTCTACCCCTCTCTATTTGCTTTGGGGAATTTTAAGCGGTGTCCAGAAGAATCTTCCGCCATTCTGTATTTACGATTTTTACTGAATTGTTATACGTTTTATCCGTTTTCTCGCAGCCCGTTCACAGAAGCGACTAATAATGACATCAGTGAGTCCTGTCGTTATAGCAGCTACGGCCAGGCACACAGCAACAGTAAGAAAATTTAATTTCAAGATGTCTCTTTTTTTGGTTATACCTGACGCAAAGTGATTTTTAATTAACCATAAGTTAATTATTCGTAATATAATTTTATCTCATAAGGACTAAATAATTACAGGATTCTTTCTTAATTTTTGCTTTTCTTTTGCATTGAAAACTTATATTTCCTTGTAAGATTAAAGTGTTTCAATACCAAGAACAGTTTTTAAATAAAATGAATACCTTAATTTTTAGTAATAAATGCAAACACGATTTGAAAATGTAGAGAAAAATAACAGTATGTGTTCAGCTAACTACATTGCTGTTATATAATGCAATACTTTTTTTATTTTAGCTTATATTTTTCCATGGATTGGGAGATACTGGGTAAGTGATAACTTATTATGTAATAAAATAATAACAGTACTATTTGATGGTTAATATTCATTTCATTTACTTTATAGCCATGGTTGGGCTAGTTCAATGGGAGCAGTAAGATCTCCTCACATTAAAGTAATTTGTCCCACTGCGTATGTATAATTGAGATAAAAATAATCATATATAAGTGAATAGAAATTTGATAGTTTTTTTTAAGTGGATACATCATTTAATTGTTATCTTCTTAGGCCTATTATGCCAGTGACATTAAATGCAGGATTTAGAATGCCTTCTTGGTAAGTAAGTAATATGTATACATAATAAAATAAAGAACTTTTTCATTAATCGTATAAATACATAAAAGTAATGAAAAATAATTTGAACACTAATAAATTTAGGTTTGATTTACGATCTTTGGAACCAAGTGGACCTGAAGATGAAGAAGGTAAGGTTTTAGTCAGGGTGGTGCACTTGCTATATATAGTGCTCTTACATTTCCAGAACCTTTAGCTGGTGTTATAGCTTTATCAGCTTGGCTTCCTTTGCATCAAAAATTTCCTGCTGTGTGTATATTTACACTACAATAATATACTTTATATTTTATGGTATTATAATATTTATAATATTACATACTTTATAGGAGGCAATAGGAAATAAAAATACTCCCCTGTTACAAGGTCATGGTGATTGTGATCCAATTGTGCCATACAGATGGGGTCAATTGACTGCATCTGTTCTCAAACAATTTATGACACAAACAGAATTCAAAACGTATGAAGGGATGATGCATACATCTTGTGCTGAGGTAGGCATTAATCTAATATTTGCAAAAGTTTGACATTCGAATTACTTTGATAAACAGTATATTTAATAATTTAAATAATACATCACAAAAAAACGATTCAAAATGTTACATAAATGATTGATTTTGTTTCTCACATTCTCAGGAAATGAGTGACATGAAGAAGTTCATCGACAAAGTTTTGAAGCCGTAATAGTTTTACTAAATATAATAATGTTCTAAACATTAACCTTATTACTTTATTGTTCTTCATTAAAAATTAATTACTTCCAACTTCACTGCTACTTAATTCTAGTGCTTGGTGAAGAAGTAAAGACAGCAGTAGCTGGAAATGTTTAAACTCTTGAAAGAAAAGCAGAATAATAGTAAAAATTATTATTTGCGATAAATATGTATCTATTTCCGCTATTATTTGCGTAAATTATATTTAAATGTATTATTTCCATTTTAGAATACCAAAGTTACTATTATAATATACCCAATTTCTAATTTCACAATACGAATTAACAATCAATGGAATTCTTATATTTATTTCTAAATTCTTTACACATAAGAAATAATGATGTTCAGAAAAAAGAAATTATTTTAAATGCATTTTTTATAGATTTACAGCTAATTTTATTTTATTCCTACTATAATACTTCATATAAAATCAAATAATTTCCAATTAAAATAAATTTATTATTTATTTCTAAATAAAGCTTCCACTTTTTAATGGACGTAATATTTTTCGTTAATTGAATTGTATTTAGCGAAAGCCGTTTATTCTTCTACATTTAATTAAACTTTTTAATTTATGTATTATAAGCGTTTAAGCATTGACATATTCTTTATGATATTTACATTTTATATAAGTTATACATAATGTACAAACACTGCTACTTATGGATAATGACTTTTGTAGAAATGTTGTCTAGGAGACAGTAATATGGCCATGTAATCTGTGATTACAAAATATAGTTTTGAAATCAACAAACTCGATAATTTTTTGTAGACAGCATATTGTAAATGCCAGTCGTGAAAAAATATGTATATCATGCATCGGTATGATGACTATATTATCATTGATAATGATCATTGACAAGTGTATAGTATAAGATTACTACCTTTGCAGCACTTATTTTAGGTTTACCCAAATGGTACTATTAAGAGTAAAAACAGTTGCGATTATCATCATTTATAAAACAAATATTTAACTGAAAAGCAATACTAGTTATGTAATAAAACATAGAGATGATCATTTATAATATTTAGTTATATAAAGATGACGAATTATGCTTATTAAACACATTATTTTTTGGTGTCTTATGTAAAAACATAAAATACAAAAATTGTAAACGTACGATGAATTTCCGAAACTCAGTACTAGCTTTATATTTAATTTGATGTTTCTAATGGAAACTATAGTGTATTATATATATGGTGTATATATTATTATTACCACAGAACAGTAAATTTTTCGATCTAAATAAATTATATACCAAAAAATATATTATAGGAATCAACATTCCATCAAATGATTTATTGTTCTATGGAATATATAAAAATACGAGGTATCATTGAGTATTCTTACATTCATTAGTTACCAATATTTTACATATTCGTAACTTATTCACATCCATAATTTATTGTACAAGATGCTGTTACCACTTATGCAAATAAAGTTTTTGTCATTAGTGTTAATTGGTCTAGATTAATATTTTTATGATAAGGAAAGTGAAATTACATTTAGAAACGCCATTAACTTTTACAGGTATCAAGTGAAATATCCGCCATCTCTTATACCACCAAGCAGTGGTAAATATATTTATTAAAATATATATTTGCAACATTGAAGAATATAATTAAAACAGTAAATAAAACACAAGATTTTATTAACTATTTAGGTGACATATTGTAAGTAGTATCGTTAAATGACTACAATCTGCGCATCATTTTCTAAAGTATTTTAAATATTGATTAATTTTTTTTTCTTTTTTTTTTTTTTTGTTGTTAAATATTCATAGTGCATATACAAATTTACTCTTTACAATGGAAAATAAAAATTCATCCGATGTTTTATATTCTGTGGACAACGGTATGTTAAAAATCATATTAAATCGACCAGAAAAAAAAAACGCTATTTCCACTTCTGTACGTATACAATTCTTTATGTTATATATAATGTTATTTGTTATCAAAAACTAAACATATTTAATATGTATTATAATTTTTACAATGTCTCCTATATAAATTCGTATTATATTTGAAGGTTGGAATATATCGTAATGTTTAACATTATAAATGTCTTTTAACTAAGTAACATACAAAAATAACAATTGTTCTTTTTAATGTTAATTTTATTTAACAAGTATTATCATAATAACAAAAGTGTAACAATACCTACAAAATATTTGATTAATAATAATGTTATATTTCTGTTTATCAGATGTACAAGAAATTAGTACAAATCTTACGTGAATCTATTCAGGACGAAAATATATTCGTAACAGCTTTAACTGGTACTGGAGAATTTTTTAGTAGCGGAAATGACTTTAATTCCTTTTTAACAATGCAAGATACAGGAGATTTTGATCTCACAGGAGTAATCAATGTCTTTAAGTGAGTACTTCACAAACATATAAAGTTTTATATTAAGTAAGTTTAATTTGATAGATTTAAATCAGAATAATAATTTTCCAGAGAATTTGTGGATATGTTAATTACATACCCTAAACTTTTAGTAGCTGTTGTAAATGGTGCAGCAATTGGAATTGCAGTAACAATGCTTCCATTATTTGACATGGTATATGCATCACAAACGGTAATTATTTATTACTTGTTATTCTCTCCACTCTCTGGTTCATTAGTTTCATTAAATTATAATTAATTTGCAATATTGTAGGCTTATTTTCATACACCATTTACAAGATTAGGTCTTGTTGCAGAAGGATGTTCTACATATACATTTCCTAAAATATTTGGGCAGTCCAAGGTATTTAAAATTCTAATGTCAATTATTATTAATTTCTAATTTCTTAATATTCTTTAGGCTGGAGATATGTTATATTTAGGTTATAAAATGAGTGCATCTGAAGCTAAACAGTATGGTTTAGTTAGTGAAGTATACAAATATGAATGCTTAGATGAAGTTTGGACATATTTAAAAAAATTGACAGAGGTCTCATCAAAGGTATACTTTAATATAATATACATTA